AACCGAGGGACACCCTGCTGCCATGGGCGCTCCGCCGCGGTCAGCAGCCGGCTCTGATCCGTGGCCTGGCCCAAGGAGGGGAGATGGAGAGTGAGAGAACACGACTTTCCCACCCTCTGCTCAACCCTGCTGTGACAAAACAGGAAATGTGACATGGAAAACTCCTGTTTATTCACCCAGAAGAAAAAAAAAAAAAACACAAAAATAACAGGGCAAAGGGCCAGGGAGCATCTGTGAGGGTTTCTGTGTTACCCGCCGGTCCCGTCTCGGCTACGGCTCCTGCGGAGGGAGCAGGCGTGGGGTCAGCGAGCTGTGTGGGGCTGCTCACCACCCCATGGAGACAGAGACCCCACAAGCCCAGCCTGGCTCAGGGACAGCAGCCTCAACCCACACGAGCCACTGAGCGGCAAGGAGGGGGAAAGCCACGTGAAGGTGGAGTTCGCTGACCTTGGCAGCATCCTTCTCCTCCTCCTCCTCTTCCTTGTCCTTGGGCAGCTGGCTCTCTTCCCCCTGCGTGACTGCCTCATCTCCTGCACGGTCTTTAACCTGAAAGGCAGAGGCTGACCCCTGTCCCCCACCCCATCGCATGGAGATCCTGCCATGGGTGCCGGCCCGTGCTGTCCCCGGTACCTTGTCGTGCGAGCACTGGGTCTCTGCCCGCGCCCTTCTCTGCAGCTCTGCTTCAATGACCTCGAAGAACTCCTGACGGGCACGGTCGAGCACCTCCTGGGGATTCTCCACCAGCCTCTCCTCCACCTCCCACTCCTGTCCCTCCGACCTGGCGCGCTCCTTCAGCCGCATTTCCCGGTGCCGGGCCTCCAGGATCTTCTCTCGTTTCGTCTCCCGCTCAAACATCTAGGGCAGGGGTTGGGCTGAGGGGTGCAGGGTGAGCAGGGGACCCCGCGGGACAGCGGGCTGTGTACAGGGACAGCGCAGGGCTCGCTGGCAGAGCCACTGGGCATGGGACCAGCGACGTGCCAGCAGTGCTGAGGGCTTTGCTGTGACCTGGCACAGCAGCTTGCGGCTCGAAGCTCACGTACAGCGTTGGCCAGGGTCTTCTCATTCTTCTGGAGGGTGCAGAGCCCGGAGGAGATTTCCAGCAGGGTGACGGTGCCCAGCTTTGAGCCGCAGCCAACAACGCACCCGTTGTCCTGCAGGCGCAGGCTGGAGAGGGGCTCGTTGCAGACCTGGGGAAGAAGGACGGATGGGTGGTGGCACTTAGCCCTGATGGGATGCTCCATGGGGGAAGTCAGGCAGGACAAGCCGGCAGAGGCAAATCCACGTGGTTGCCAATAACAGGAGCCTATGTGCAAATTTTTGGGCACACTGGGCTCGAGGCACAGCTCAGGGCTGAGGGGACAGCTGCTGCTCGATGGAGCTCATCCTGAGCTCTGGGCAGGCAGGATGGGACTCTGTCCCCTGGCTCTGCCTGCTCCATGCAGGGCAGGGCAGATCTGCCAAACACCCCGCTGCCGGTGCTGGCCAGGGGCAGCGCCCGCTCCCCTCCCAGGGTGAGGGACCCGGAGCCGCTGGGGACCCGACCTTCAGGCTGAGAGAGGGGTCATTCTGCTTGAAGAGGAAGTCCCAGATGTCCAGGGTCCCGTCTGACCTGGTGGTGAAGAAGACGGAGGGCCTCACGGTGCTCCAGCACCCATCCGTCAGGTAGGAGAGGTGGTCCCTGCCGGCAGACACGATGCAGCGGGGATGGGCTCGTGGCCTCCATCCCCCTGGCCCCATGGCTGCTGCCTGCACAGCGCCTTCAGCCAACAGCCCAGGCGCGGGCACCCTCCGTTCCAGCACCCTTGGCCACACTGGCACCGCTCTGCCTTGGTGACCGTCCCATCACCTCCTCCTGCCTGACCTAAGCAGACCAGACCCTGCTGGTTGTCTACCCCAAACGCGCTCTTCCACAAGAAGGAACATTTTTTGCAGGGCAAACTTATGCACACCGACACCTACTTGGTCCACATAATTGACGATTCCTTAGTCTCCTCCGACCAGATCCGAGCAGTCCAGTCGCCGACCGTCAGGAAGATTTTGGGGTAGAAAGGATTCCTGGCCAGCGCGTAGACGGGTCCAATGTGGCCACTGTAGGTGCTGGTGATTTTTTCAGGGGGTGTCTTGGCCTTGCGGTTGCAGGCGATGATGATGCCTTGCTCTGTGCCCACCATGAACTTGGTGGGCTGAGGGTGGGAGCAGGAGAGAGCGGACGTCAGCAGGCTGGGGACCCCGCGGTGCAGGGGGCAGTGGGGCAGCAAAGAGCTTTGCTGTCTGAGCAGGGGGGGACCCCTCTGGAGCCAGCGCCTGGGGAGAACGGGAGCCCGGGGCCCCGCCACGATCTGGGGGATATAGAGACCAAAATGCCAGCAAGCGCCTGTGTTTTGGGAGCACATCAACTCCTAATTCTTAAAGATGGGTGAGAACATGCTGCAGGCTGCAGCACAGTGCTCTGGGTTGCTCCGGGCACCAGGTGCTTGTGCCGTGTCCCTGGAGCCGTGCCCGCAGGGGTGACCGGGCTGCCCAGCTCTGTTCAGCTCGCCTCCCAGTCCTGCTCACGTTACGGTACTGGCTGCGTGCGGGTGGGATGATCCTGACGGCGGGGCAGAGAGGCTCACCATAGTGGGCTCGAACTCCAGCGCGATGGCACCCAGAGCGTTCTCCAGGAGCCCCTTCCGGGTGATGTCCAAGACCAGCGACTCGGTGGGCTCGGACAACTTGCGGATGTCCCACCACAGAACCTGCAGGGGACAAACAGCGGGAGGGGGCTGCAAGGCAGGGGCTGCTTCCAGCTGAGCAGTGCCTGCTGCGGAGCAGAGTGCCCTGGAGCCAGGCAGCTGCCCTGTGCCAGTCTGTGCTGCTAGCCTGGGGGCCAGGTTCCCCTGCTGCCACAGCCAGCAAGGGGCAGAGGAGGCAGGGGAAGCTCTTTTGGGCTGTCAGCGCCTGCCAGCGGGGTCCCCGTGTGAGTGCCTGGCACCCTTTCCTGCCCCTGCCCTTTACCTGCCCGTCGGTGGAGGCTGAAAAGCACTCGGTGCCTGTTTTGGACTGCAGCCAGATGGCTCCGTACACAGGGTCCCTGTGGCTGACCTCCACGGTGGACACCTCCACAGGCAGTCCCCCTTTCCTGGTGTCCCAGTAAGCTGGGAAGGAAAAGGAGCTGTCAAGATCTGCAACCGCTCCCTTGTCCGGCTCCTTTGCTTGCCATGTGTTTCCCGAGGAGATGCCGCCCCACTGCCCAATCCAGAACAGGCAGCAAGCCTCACTGGGTGCTCCCCCTGCGCTTCCCAGCCCCGAAAGAATCACGCAAGCACCCTGTGGGCTGGGAGTCTGCTGCTGAGATCACTCGCAGCGATGCCCACTCTGAGCGGAAACACAATTTGCACTTTCTGCAAATGCCGAGCTAGGCGGTGGTAACACAGTAAATAGCCGCAGCAGTTCTTCAGCGATCATCTCTCTGTGGCAGATGCACTGCAATCCCCAGAAGCAATAAATCCCTCCGGCTTCTCCCTGTTCTGCACAAGAGGTTGCAGCAGGACCACACATGGTCTAAGCAGCCTCCAGCCCCCATCAACTTCCAAACAGCGGCTTTTACACCCGACGCTGCTAAAAACCAGCCTGTGTGACCTGACCTCGGCTGTGCTCCCCTCCTGTGTACCCGAAGGGTGCTGGCTAATGAAGGCGGGTCCCCCGTGGACAGCAGCAGCCGTCCTTCCCTATCTCTGCCTCCGACGTGTGGCAGAGGGCAAGTCACAGCGCAGGACTGGCTGCAGTTCAGCAAAGGTTAGGCGGTTGGGTCACGGTGGCACCGAGATGCACACGCTCCCTCTCGCTCACTTCTAATTAAGCAATTGGATGTGACGGAGTGTGCTCTGCTGGGCCCGTGCCACGCGCCTGGGGAGCACTGCAAAGGACGGGGTGAGATCCTTCCCCTCCATCACCTGCGGAGCGTGCAGTAACAGCCCCGTAATGCATGCCCTGTCAGATCTGATTGCTGCTGCAAATGGCAAGGAAAACATCAAAATGAGAGCAATTAAATCAAAGGGCTCACATGGCCGAGTAAATAACAGAGCTATAAATGAAGCTGGCAAAGAGGGGCCCTTTTCCAAGCGCTTGAAACAACAGCACAAGAACAATTCAGTGCACACAACGACAGCAACTCTCCTGGGCTTTTGCCATGCAAAGATACGAGGTTGTGGGCAAGGCAGGAGCACAGGACCCGTGCTGCTGCACCGTCTGATCCAGCAACCCCTGCCAGGCTCTCGCTGCAGCCGCAGCTGCCTCACTGCCCCCAGTGCTTGCAAAGGGCTCCCAGGCACGGTGTCCTCCCCTTCCCGGCTACCTGCTTAGGTGAGAACATGCTTGCTCTCCACACGCCAAGCCCCAAGGCTTCAGGCTGTGCTCAGGATATTCCCAGCTGCAGCCCTAATGACATTACACACTTTGTGAGTGTAGCAGTGCTGGAATCAGGCTCTTGCCGAATTAAAATGAAGTCTCATTAACATGGCCTCATGCCTAATCCATCTTCCTTACCCATCTGCCCGTTGTAGCATCCTCCTACCAGTACGTGCGAGTCTTTGGGGTTGTATTCCAGGCTCACCAGAGGGGATGACGGCTTGAGAACGAGCTCCGGCTTGTTGGGGTTTTCTGCCAAGAAGGGATGAATAAAGAGCGAAGTGCAGAGACAGTCTGGAGGACAAGCACCCCTGCTTCTAAACGAGCCTCCTGATACCACACCCTGCTCCTCCATGCCTGGCTCCCCGTCACGCCGATGCCTGCCCAGCTGTGCCGACTGAGGAGAAGCTGGTGAGCTGGGCATGCCACCAGGATGCCTCACCTTAGCCAGGGAAGAGAGCCTGCCAGCCTGGGGACAGACCCCTGGTGCCCCAGTCCCTGATACCCTGACCCGTTTCTTTCTGTTTTTCGCTCCAAAATACAACAGGTCTGAGAGAGCTTTTGACAGAACAGTGCAATTCTCAGCCTGGCCTTGTGCTGCCTCTTTCTTAATCAAGCACAAGTGAACCATATAAACACAAGAACCACATAAGAGGTGTGCGGCTCGGCTGCCTGTTGTGGTCACAGGCGCTCAAGCTCATGAAGTCATGTAGTGGGATTTTAGTGGTTATTTTCCACCTGTTGGCCAGCTTTCAGGTCCCATTTCTCCCCTTCTCTGCATTGATCTGTGGGCAATGCAGAAACTGAACCCCTGTTCACCCCCTCCGGAGCGCTGTGAGGCTTCATTACATGCTTTGAAGACACAAAGTGCTTCTGCAGCCGCAGCATTACTGACTGGTGAGTTTTCCTTTCCCCTTACCAAGATCCCAGATGTATGAGTCAAAGCTCATGTCTTTCATGTTTTGCTGGAACTCCAGGCTGGAATAAGCCACTGCCAGTTTCCTGCATGTGTCGGGGTGCCAGGAGAGATGCGTGGCCGTCCTCTTGGTTATGTTGGGATCCCTTTTCGATAACAGGACATCAAAGAAAGATGTTAGTTTGCTAACAGCTCTGTCACGCCCTGGGATGACTGTCTCCCAAAGGAAACTCTGGGAATCGCAATTAAAACAAGCTGCAGCCCTTGAGCATTGAGTGCAGGAAACGATTCTCTTGGGGGTTGGGCAGGGGGAGAAGAGTTGATGATTTAATAAAGTCTTTCCAGTTATACGTTTCTAAGAATCCAATTATGTTACTGGATCTGACTTCTAGAAATGACCTAACAGCCCCTGACATTTGAAAATAATCTGTCAGGCACGAAAAAAAAATAATAAAAAATTCCTGTCTAAAGCACTGTTAGAAGATGCTCAGACCATGGTACCCATCTCCAAAGTGCCTGGGCAGGGCAGAGGGCAGGGAGGGGAGGAACAGATGGAGTTATGGAGCAGAGAGGCTGCAGCAGGTCTCTCCATCCATAAACTGAACCAGCACTACCCTAAAGCCGCTGGGTTTTCCACCTCCTTTGCCTCCAACGGCAGCTTAATACACGCTATCCTGCCGTGGACCTGGAGAGCGTGATGAGCCCAGCTGGTTGTGCTACCTGATGACATTGATGGTTTTTGCGGAGGGGGGCTCATCTTCCACCTCTGCCGTTTCCTCCTCTCCAAAGTACTCCTCGTAGATGTTGATGGCATTGTTCTGCTTGACGCAGTGCTCCATCAGCTGCAGGGAAAGCACAGACAGAGGCCATGCCTCTGGGGAGCTGCCAGGGCGAGGGAACCGGCAGCAAGTGGGCAAGAGGGCTCTGGGAGCGGGAGGGGGGACGGGCAGGGCCTTACGGCGCCAAGGTGCATGATGGTGTTGATGTAGTTTTCGTCTTTCTCCACTTTCTTCCTGAAGCGGATGGTTTGTTCCACCTCCTGCGGGTTGATGTCTTTGGGCCAGCCGCCCTCGACATGGTTGACACCGCGGGATTCCACCTCCAGCCGCTCAGTGTTGACCTGGGGGTGGCACGGAGAAAACAGAGCAAGAGTTTGAGCCGAAAAAGTGCAAAACACCCCTTTCCTCCCTTTGTACAGCGCTGCCCTGCAGGGCAGCAGCCTGGGAGGCCCATGAGGACTGGCGGGCCGCCCGCGCCTCGTGCTCCGACATGTCGCTGGTGTGCTGGACGTAGCTGTCCACGGGGTTCCGCAGGACAAAGCCGCTGGCCATGCTGGGGGCAGGGGGGATGTCC